GACAAACTGCAAAATTATTAAATCAGGAATGAAATTATAAAGGATTACACATGAAGTACTTTGATCAACAGATCAGACAGATTGAAAGAATCATTTGAACTGAAAACCACAAATAAAGCTCCAGATGAAGCTCACCGGCTGGCATAATACATGAGACTAAACAATGGAAGAGCCAATCAGCAAATTAAATCAACAGATGAAACAGTGGACTCTCTTTCACTTGAGTTAAAAGCCACACAGCCACTCAAAGCCTTAGCACAGAGTTAACACGGAGCCTACAGCAGTAGATGGCCAGCCCTGACAAGTTTCCAAGCACACAGCAGAAGGCATGAGAAATGCTAGCACAGATTTATTTGGAGTTACAGTCTAAGCACAGTGCAAGTTTACTTTGATTAATCTAGTAAATGATGGCAATTTATTAGAGATCAGTTCCCTTTCAGTAAAACATAGAGTACTGGCAGGCTAACAGCAAACACAGTACATGTCAGTGCAGTGCTGTAAATAGAATTCCTCTTGATCTGCGATTCCAGTCTCCGCTCTGTATCACACAGCTCTAAAATCACATCTCTCACAGCAGCAGCCTGGCCCTTACTCTCCCCGGATGACCTGGCTGCTACTCTTTCCATAGGTCTAGAATGAAGCGCAAGTTTAACGCTCTGCACCTCAGCAATGATTTGTGCTATGCTTTCCTGCAGACGGGTAAACTGCTGCTGTAAACTCCCGAGACATGAACTGACTTGTTTAGTGTAGTTAAGCTGTTCTTTTAGAGGAATTAAAAGAGAATCTATTTTTATGGAGTCACTCCTGTCTTCTCTTGCCAATAAAACACCTTCTTTTATTCCCTGCGACGTCCTTGTTTGCAGAATGTTTTTCAGGTCTGCTATGACATCACTGAGATCCTTCTGCTGCAAGTCATAGGTGGATGCCTGCTCTTTGATGGCTTCTTGCAGATTTATTGGGCCCTTCTGTGCTTCAAGCACCAAGACTTTCAGTTCCTGCAGCCTTACTCGATTAACATAGGTGGAACCAAGAACACCTATAACAGCTCCCAGCACAGAACCAATAATAGACCAGTTCTTTGTTTTTTCAGCTCTTGTCCTCTCTTTCTCATGGCTCTCCCTTACAGCAGCGGAGAAGAGAGAAAATTTTTCTCGCTCAGATTCTTCTGCATTTAAGTAGGCAGCTCGGTACCTCTTCTCCTCCTGCAAGAAACACAGCACTTTGATTTTATAACTTCACCATTTTGTAACTTCAGATTATAAAGAAAGAAAAAAGTGCATCCATCAGTTGTTTCAGAAATTGTTTCATAGATTTTTCCTTTAAACGTATGATTTTCTTTATTAATCCCACTTAAATTGGTGAGGCATCATTTTAAGTCAAAGCTAAGACATGGAAAAGATCATCAAGAATTACATTTGAAGACTGTCTAAAGCATAATCTGTCACATGGTGACGATAGAAAAGTGCTACAAATGGGCAGCTTTTCCCTCCCCATAAAGAAAGCTTTCTCTGGCTCTGCATACTTCTCCAAACACCACCTCCACCCCACTTCTCCATCTCAGTTGTAATTCCCTTAAAACAGGAACTGAAAATAGTCCTGGAAAGGATGTCCTGGAAAGGCTCATCTCATGATCACATACACTTTTCACTCCTCTGCCTTCTCTTTCTTCCCCTGTTCAAAGACATATGTTTTCCTTTTCTGCCCCTCCTGGCTTTGGTGTGGCAGTTCCTGCTGTAGGCCAGTTTACCTCAGCAAAACAGTGGAAACTTTATGGCTATTTTCCTGCAGTAAAAATTTTTAGCAAAGGAAGAACTGTTTTTGATAGTGAACCTGTCTGTCAATTGACTGCACTCCCCAAACTATCTCAGTCTTTTGAGCATGTATTTCTTTTATAAGGCAGCAGTACCAGCATACAGTGATGACTTTAGTTCTATCTTTCTCCACACTGATGCAGAGCTCTGTTCTTGAAATCTCATCTACACAGACCTGATCTGTTTTTTGGACAGCTCTTTTTAGTTCTTTGCTGCTGCTCTGCTTATTGATTCAGAAGATCCATTTAAGCTCAGGCATAGCTATTAACTTATTACTTGCCCAAGCTTTGCCATAGATGTGCCAGTTTCCAGCCTGTTTCCTGCAGCTTCACTCAGATTTCTGGAGTTTAGCTGCTATCATGCTTTTATCTGTGACTGATGGACTATGGATGACTGTGCTGCTACTGCCAGCCTGCTTGGCTCCTTCTGACAAGATGCATGAGGACTGCACTCTGTTGGTGCAGGACACTGCCCCTGCCTGTGCTGTGGTCCCCCTCATCTTCTTGCTTGTTCTCCTTCATGGAGCAGCCTTGCTCTTACTGCTCTCTGACAAAAGCCTTAGTAAACTGTGTGGGGGCTGCAGCCAGGTGAAAGGGGAATGGCTTTGATGGCTTAACAACTGGAAATGCACTTCTCTCATGATATGGAAACTAACTGGTTGAATCCCATATATATATATATATATATATTTATTTTTTTTCCATGCACCTGTCACCATTCAAACAATGTTCTAGGTTTTTCAGCTTTTGTCTCCAAATGCACTACCCTGTTGTAAGATGAACATGATTTCCACATCAGATCAAGTCCCCCACATTGCTTCAATTAAAACAACTATCACAAAAATTAACTCAGATTACTGGACTTATATGCTAACACACATCTGCAGAACCAAGTCACTGGTGACAGAAACAAAGCACGTATTTTTAATTCGTGTTTGCCAGCATTCAGATACCAGGAAATTACCTGCAGCAATCTGTGTTCCAGCGTAGCCAGTTCTAAATACTGGGTGTCATCCCGAGAGACCCTGTCCAAGCGGTCCCGAACTTCTTTCAGCTTTACCTGCTGGGCTTCCACATTTTCACGAGCCTGTCGTACAATCCCTCGAGCTATCATAAAGACATTTTCAGCCTGGGAAGAGAGATTACTTGTTTTAGAGACTTATTAACAGATTTATTAACAGATAGATGTAAACTGTTAGTCATACGATTTCAGGGAGGAAAATAAAAGTAACACAATTCAACACAATATAGGGGACAACTCATCACAGCACAGGGGATACGCTACGCGTGCTGAGCTTACTAGGCTAGGGCTCTGTCACAGTACCTGTACAGCCAGTTAAAGCAGAAAAAAAGACACTGTTCTCCTTGGAGGCTCTCTTCAGCCTCACAGCCAGTTCTCCTAATGGCATAATCATAATTTTCAATTTTACTTTTTTACATTATCTCCACATTTACCTCCGTCACTTTTCCCTGAGCCTCCCGAACTTCATTGAGCCCAACGAACTCTTCGTATTTGTCCCACCAGTTCCTGCCAGTTGCAGATATTTTCTGTAAGGAGTTTTTCCCCACAGCAGCCCCAGCTTCTGCCATCCGGTTCAGAACACCCACAGCAGTTTCTATGGCTGATTTGGCTTCAGGCCTCTTCGGTCCGGAGGCACAGTAGGTCCTCACTAAGTGTACATTCATTTTCTGACTCCGCTTTATCAAAGAATGGTGATACTGCAACCCACAGGACACTGACGACACACTTGATTTATACTTCATTGGCCCCATGTCTTGTACTCAATCACCAAAGAAAAGTGCTGCAAGAAAAAGAAAAGTTATTAAACTAAGGTTGGTAAATGCCTCTTAAAATTAAACACACATGCCAAAAATACCAACACAATTACATGGATAAACCATCGCTAGTTTTACACCATTACTTACACAGGGAACTTTCCAGTTTTCAGCAAAGGACAGCTGTGCCACAGATCCCTGCTTTTCTGCTGTAATTAAGTACTTCTGCCATACTTCTTGATTAACTCACTGCATAGTGACTGTGCACAGATACCAGCAGGAGTAGCTGCAGAGTAATGTAATGCTTCGGCACAGGTGTGATCGCCATATGACAGCTTGCTTTGAGCTTTCACATTTGAGTTTGGCATTTAATATCACAGGTGCTAACAATTCTGGAAAAGAAAAGAAATGAGAAAGAGGCATTAAAAAAGGACCTTGAAAAGGGAAAGAAATGGGCTTTCATCATTACCTCACACTCTACAGACAACCGAAGCACTGAAGAGTAGAAAGACAAATATATAATGGGCAGAGAGAAAACACAGCAGTGCTAAACTGAACATGGGTTTTTCTGGAAACCTTCCTGCAAAACTGAGCTACGAGGAGGAGCCAAGTGTTCATACAGACATCAGGCAGTGAATGCATCTTTATGGCTGTGTTTTAAAATGAGTTTTAAAATCCTTGCTTACCCTGCAGAAACAACACTGGCTGCTGCTTAACACCAGCAGTGACGTGTAAGGAAAACTATTATTTTCTGCTTAGCACATTCCTCTGAAAACTGCATAAACAGGCAAAATCTCACTGAAGCTTGATGAAGCCTCAATGAATTTTTATACAGTTTGGGTAAGGCTAGGTCAGAATTTGACCAGAACAATATTATAAACCCACAGCATTCACGAAACCTCGAGCACTACTGCAGTTGTTCTGCTTTATTTGGCAACGGTTACCTGTGCTAACTTTAGCCGGCTGGGGGCAACACGCGCGCAAACACAAACGACTTCCCCAGTGGAAGACATCTGCAATGAGGTCTTTTTTAACTTGGCTCCTCACCCTGAAGGCCCACTTATATCCGGTGAAACATACGCAGCACGGAGCAGCAGCAGCCATCAGCTCCGCGACGGCCTCACCGCGCGCCAAGGCGACGCGCCTCATCGCGCTCACACTGACGGAGCCGCGCTGTTCTCTCGGCAGCGCAACCGCGCCGCGCCCCGACATCGCCAGCGCGAGGAAAGCGCGCTTCCCCACCCCAAGGGCAGCGCTACGGCGGGACGTTCGCTCCCCACTACCGCTGGGGCGGACGAGCCCAGCAGCGGGGCCCTACCTGACGTGGCAGCAGCCTCCGGGCAACCCCTCACACAACACCCTCCCCCGTGCCTGCCCGCAGGGTCGAGGAGCGGCGCCGGAAGCGGAAGTGGCAGCGGCGGAAGTGCTACTGCGGAAGTGCTACGGCGGCCGTGTGGAGTCAGACGGAAACGGTGCGGTGCGGAGCGGAGCGGAGCGGTGCTGGCATCATGTCGGGCCGAGAGGGTAAGGCCGGGTCCGGGGGCTGCAGGCGTCGGTTGTGCCGCCTTCTCTCTTCTCACCGCCCCCTCTCTTTTTAGGCGGCAAGAAGAAACCGCTGAAGCAGCCGAAGAAGCAGACGAAGGACCTGGATGAGGTAGGGCGGCGGGGGGGCGAGGCGAGCATCTTTCCTCAGAGCGAGCTCCCGCAGCACCTCGGAGTGCGTGCGGTGCGGGCACGGAAATCGCGGGCTGGAGATGGACCTGAGGCTCCTGCTGCGGATCCCCGGGCGTGAGGGCTCGGAGTGGAGGTGTAAGATGTTAGTTCTGGGAAACGTAGAGGCTGTGTGAGGCACCGGTGATTGAAAAAGAGAAACGTGAATTGGATTGGTGAGCAGTGTCAAAATCCTGAGTGCCGAGGAAAACTCCTATAATCCCTTTAGCGGTGCTGCCTATGAAGAGTACGTATGTAAGAGACAGAGCTCTGAGCTCTCTTGAATTCCAGAGGATGTTCTGGCAGGGATGTGCAGTGCTGCTTTGCCTGTGCAGTTTGCCAGCAGTCTTATTGTATTTCTCAGAATTAATACGAATGCATTAAAATGAATAGTAGTGACATGTATGGAAAGATTTTTAAGTTATGCTTTTTTAGGTAAAAACAACGTTTGTTTCTTGTGTCCTAATTAGTCCAAGATTTATTGTGTTTTTGCACTAGATTCACAGTAGCAGTGGAGATTAATGGTTTTAATGCAAACATCATTCAGAGGGCAGAGTGAGATGATGCTACAGGAGGTGATACTTTCTTAATTTTGGAAAAATCAAACACACAAAGTAAAAGTTTGGTCCATCTCTGTGTTGTGGTGCAGCATAAATAAAGCCCCAAACAATACTGTTTGTCATTGTTCTGGAAAGTTTTGCTTATTTACTAGCACTGAGCCATCTTGCATCCGTTTAGTCTGTTAGGATTTGATTGCTGTTGGAACATAATTCCAGTATTTGAAGGGAGCATATAAATAGGAGGGGGAACGGCTGTTTACAAGGGTGGATAGTGATAGACGAGGGGGAATGGTTTTAAACTGAGACAGAGGAGGTTTACGTTAAATATTAGGAGGAATTTTTTCACACAGGGCAGTGATGCACTGGAACAGGTTGCCCAAGGAGGCTGTGGATGCCCCATCCCTGCAGGCATTCAAGGCCAGGCTGGATGTGGCTCTGGGCAGCCTGGTCTGCTGGTTGGCGACTTGCACATAACAGGGGCTTGGAACGAGATGAGCACTGTGGGCCTTTTCAACCCAGCCCATTCTATGATTCAATGATTCTGTGATTCTATGATTCTTTGATGTTTTTTTCTCATTGCTTTCAGCTGTTTTCCAACTTTTCCGGGGCAGGAGATGTTAACACACTGTTGTTCTTTTCTTTAGACAGATCTGGCATTTAAACAAAAGCAGAAGGAGGAGCAAAAGAAACTTGAGGAGATGAAAGCAAAGGCTGCTGGAAAAGGGCCCCTCAGTAAGTGAGGTGCCATACTGATAGGAACAATTGAGTGGCTTGCTGGCTTCAAAAGTTTAATGTTTTTGCTTGACAAACATAAAAAGATCTTTAACTTTAAGTTACTCAGCACACACTGGGAAGCTGATGGCAGCTGTAGATGATAAGTAACAAATAGAGGCTATTTTTTTAATTATTATTATTTTTACTGTGCAATTTAACATCCAAATTACTGATGTGGTTTCTGTTTCAGGAGGTGTAACTGCATGCCAGGTGTGATAAGCTGTTCTAGTGGGATGGTGAAGAGAGATTTCTGCTCTTATTTTAGCATACCATCCTTTGCTTTCCAGGTGTATTGAGAAACACAGGCTTTGCCACAATTGTGAAATTTTAACAAATCCATTACTTGGTATCTTAGAGGATGAAATTCAAGAGCAGGAGATTCACGACAGAAGGGGGGGGGGGGGAACCTCACCAAAAAAAACTGTGATTGGTTTCACTTGCTTAAGTGAATCTACAGTATGCTATGTGAAAGAAGAAATTTTGCAGGCTGCATTGTGATGGTTCACCCAGCCTGCTCTATATTTCAAATGATGGTAGTAGGAAATACTGTTAATACTGTCTGTCCACTCAACCCTATCATTTACAGAAGTCTTACTAACTTTCACAAGACTACGTTTATCCATTTTTGCCTTTATTAAGACTGTTATCTTGCCAGAGATCGAAGTTAGACTCTCAGATTCTCTAGTTTCATCCCAGAGCTCTTTCTGCACCTGGGAGTTATGCTGGCAGTGTAGCTGGCAGATCACCAGAATAGAAGAATAAGACACAGTAAAGTCCTCTGACACAGTGGCTGTATTGATAAATTACAAATCTTAGCCAGAAGTTTTGCAACTTCATATGTGAGTTTGTGCTCTTGGGGCAGAGTACAACCCAGTCCCACTGACTTGGGGTATTTCTTGTCTTTTGAGATAAATGGATCTAGCTGCTCTGATTTATCTGCTTACAAAAAATGTGCTGGGTGTGGGACTTACAGAATGTCTTTGTCATTACAGACATGCAGAAAAATTCCCTGAGCTTTCCTTCTGTCCCAACTATTTTGAACTTTATCAGGCACTTCAGTAGCTCTGCACATCTGGATAGCTCTGTCCTGCCATTTCTGCTCTTCCTCTTATTTTGTTAAATTTCAGTTATCTGGTTCTAGTCCAGTGCTTGCCAGAGCTGACAGAGATTACGTTGTTGAAGAAGGTAGACTACGCCCGAGAGCCTCAGCAAGGCAACGCTGTTAGAATCATTTTATCATGGTGCAAAGTCTGCTGTTGACTATCAGCCCTTATTGCCATTTTCTGCTTTCCACAGGTCAGCTATGAGACGTGCTGTAAAACAAAACCAAACAGCATTTACAAAATGTGCTGCACTCAGTGCCACGTTAATATGTTGTGTTCTTTCACATTGCTTTACTGTCGTACTGCTGAAGTACTTTGTGCTCTTGTAAATTAGGGGGTGTGTTTAGTTCCAAGAGGGGCTGTGGTTTTCAACATGAAGTTAAAGCATGTAAGATCCAAGCAGTACCACATGCAGAGGCCATTCAGCAATGGGGTGTGGGTTGTACGGGCAGCCTGGTGGGGCTGTCACAGCTGTCACAGATGTGTCACCTGCGATGTCTGAGCCGTGGTGGTTTGGTTTCTTTTGGCAGCGAGCGGTGGGATAAAGAAGTCCGGCAAAAAGTAGTTCTGAGCTGCAGGATAAGACACCTTCCACTTCCTCAATGGATCTGCAGCCTTCAGAAGACGGAGAGAACCCGTAGCACTTGGGAAGCATTGTACATTTTGTTTAGTCAGAATAAAACTTTTTTGTTAAGAGGTGATATTTTCTCTCTTTACTGTAGCTTTTGTTTTTCAAAAGGTTAATCTGGATGCTCGGGCTTAGTTGCAGCTGTCCAAGATGGGGTTATACCGACAAACAGGCACTGCAGGTACCAGAACAAAAGCTCGCGGTACGCTGCCCGTTCCTACGCGCCGCCCAGCCGCGCTGCAGGAGCAGCAGCTCTCTCAGGAGCCGCGCGCCTTGGCGGTGCGATGGCGCCATCGTGCGGTCACCGACCCTCGCTTGGCGCTATGCTGCGCATGCGTGGTGCCCTCCTGCCGGCCGCCGCGCGAGGCTTCACGTTGGTTACGTCCGCGCGGCTCCTCCAACTGCAGAAGGGCGGCTGACGCATGCGCAATGCTCCTCTCGCCTTAGGGGGCTGCTGTCTGCACCACTGCGGGCTGAGCGTGAGTGGCGCGCTGCGCATGCGCTGGCTGGTAGCGGCTTTTCCCGCCCGGCCGGCTCCCGCCTCGCCCTGAGGTGACCGTAGGGCGCTGCGTGGTGGCTCCTCAGAGCAGCGCCCACCTCAGGAGTAGCTTCCACGGCAGCAAAACGCTGATGGGTGGGCAATGAAAATCCATCCCGTGCAGTTGGAGGCTGGGAAGCACAGATGAACTATCCTGCAAATTCAAAGCAACAGGAAGGCTGAGCAAGCACAGAGCTGCTAGTAGGATAGCAAACTTGCTTCAGATTTTGTTTGAAGGTGCTCAAAATTTCCTGCAACACATGAAGAAAATATGGTTGCAAACTCCCAGTGCAAGCATGAGAAAGCATTTCGTATTTGCGTAATTCCCATCTGTTCTGAGACTTCTTCACACTGCCAGAGATGTCTGTTATCTGCTTAGATGGGATTTAGTTCAGACAGCCCCGAGCTGAAAGCAGAGCAAGGCTATAAAGCTCACAGTAACCTCACACAGCATCACAGGAGGATCCAGGCTGCCCTCAGTGTGTACCACGTTCAAAGCTCCAAAAGCACGCTTGCTCCTGCACTAAGATACGGACAAGCTGGTCCAAACCCAACACCAACATCATCGTTTTCACCATTTTCATTATTATTCCCATTCCTCAGTCCAGTACAAGTGAAAATGGCTCTTGTAGGAAATGAACGCTTCCCTGAAGCTTCACATTTGCTGCACAAGAACAGAAGTGAAGCTGGGTGCTTATGAGGGAAACGACCTTCCCTGGGCTGCTTGGTTTCTGTGCTGACAGCTTTCCCTCTCTCTGGTAGGTAAGCCTTTTTATTTTAGCTGCACCTAAAAAGGACACATGAGAACCAAAAACACTGGAAATCATGAGTTCTGAGTGTGAAGGCTGGCACAATTAACACCAAACAATTGAAAATGGGTTTGTAAATGCCTCTGAAAGTGAGGAAGAGCTTTGGGAAACAACTTATATATTAGCAGGCTACTTCACGCAAGGCTACATCATTTATTTTACCTATCTGTTTATTTTGAACCACGTAATGTTTGCTCTTGCTGATAAGCAAACCTGAGGTGCGCACAAACAATGCAGAAAAGGAGGTGAAGTTGCGGGTACAAGTGTTTGAGAGAGAAGCAGTAAACTGGGGCAAGACTGAGGAAGATGCTTACCAGGGGGAGTCACAGTTGTACCGATAGCATAAACCTCTAAAATATGCTAAATGACTCTGAGCAGAGCTAGGTGAAAAGAAGGTTGAAATGACAAGTGGAATTCTTTTTTATGCAGGATAGCTGGTTAGGTAGGTTATTTACATCAGTCATAGGTTGATGTATGGTAGCAGATCCTTACAAACAGCCCAAGCACACACCTGCTTTCCCTCAGCATCAAAGTAGGTATCCTGGGAGATGGTTAAAACAAGCAGGAAAAGGGAATGGGAGACATCATCAAGATTGGGAAGAGGAATGGGGCCTTGATAGTGTATCAAGTAAGCAGTAGTTTGACCCAAGAATTATTAAATGAAATGAATTAGGTTGCTGATCAGGGTAAATTTACTGAGGCAGTCCAGAGTAAAATAAAGAGTGAACAGAAACACATGCTTTACAGCATGAGAGAATACACAAGTGTTTTCACCCAGAAACCAGGGCAAGAGGGGAGGAAATCAAATGGCAAAGTGACAGACCGCTGCTGTGTGAGAGCTGTTCTCAGCAGGCTTTAGTTTAACATAGGCATTGAACTGCCTTTCTGGCCAAGAGTCCTCCTGTGTTTAATATCAGGCTATGGAAATAAAGCTGACAAAGGAGCACTTTGATTGTATGTTTCTACATAATGCTACTTTATGAATGACATTCATTCCTTAGCACAGCTGCAGCTCAGTGTTAAACTAATGCGAAGACTGTATAGCTCTTAAATCACACATGTACATAAAATTACCCCCAGTCTGAAGGGCAGAGAGAAAACAGAGCCCAGAGGGCAGTGAAAAATGAATGCAAATGATTAAAATAGTACCAGAATAGATGGAAATGTTGTTTATATGGCCGTCTACTAAAGGATGTGATTGCTATAATGAACTCCAGTCCTGCTCTAATAATTTAAAATGTTTTGCTCACTCTTTGGAGTTACTTCAGTTCTAAGAACATCACACCCTATTCTGAGTCATACCCTCTTAACTGATTTATGTGAGGTCTTCAACATGAAACTTCTCTAACATCCCTAAAATGCTTCACTTCTATTCAAATGCAGTTAATTCTGACAAGCAATCCCACAATTGTGTGCACATCTAACAGAACTGCACAGACAATGACTTACAAGCATCAAACTTCCACTACTGTTGTCTTAATTAATGAACAAAAAATTTAAAGCCCATTTTCTGCTTGAAATTGTGTTATGAGAACTTATCTTTACAGAAGCTCCTAAAGCATAGGGCAACTATTTCAAACTTAGAATTAAATGTGAGGTGACACAGCATTTGAAAAATTGCTCTAGGATCAGAATCATCAGATCTGCAGCATTACTACAAAACCCTAGCAGTAAATTCATATATACTGGCAGGATTTCTCAGAGCAAATGTGTAAGATTAGAGCATGGATATTGACAACCTGAGACTGTACCAAACTAAAGAGGAAAGAAAACAGCGTCGTACCATTACATTTGCAAAAAGACAGATTCATAGCTTCTTCCTTTTAGTCAGTAGTATACAGTCGTTATTTGTTTTCAGGTTCTTTATTTGTCCTAAAGTGTTTCAAGGAAAGGAAGAAGTATAAACTCTAATGCCACGCTGCCCAGCTAAGTTCAGGACAGCAGCAGCTACGCTTTTTGCACCTTTTGGGTGGATGCTGGCATTGCGTTGCTCTCCTTAAACTCTAGGTCTGTTCAGAGAAACAGAAGCCCCACCTTATTGTAAATCTCCAGTCCCACAGCCATCTGATAACAATACAAGACTGTAGAATTCTGTGCCTATAAACTGCGACCGATGGTGCTTGCATGGGGTGGTATTCCTCATGTCAGCAATGGCAGAAAAAGGAGAAATAGAAGTACCTAATAGCTGAGGTTAAAACAGTTGACGGACAGCGACTGCGTTCTGCTCAGGTCAGAACAGTCCGAGGTCCCACAGGAGCAGCCCAGAGCAGCACGCCATCTCTGTCCTTTCACCGCTTCAACATCGCTGCCCTTCAACTTTACAGAAAATACACAACTGCCTGTTCTAACCAACTTTTCTTGTTTTTCTTTTTGTGAGCAATTAAAATACAAATGAAAGGTACCTAAGTTGCCTTCACAATTCCAAATGTTCCAAACGGTTACTAAATAAAACTGTCATTTACTGAGACTGCAGTAAGTTTATTTGGTGTGGGTTAGCCTGCTTTATATATCACTGCAATATACAGATTTCAGAAACAAGTATTAAATAAAGCCTTAATAGAATGACGCAGGAATGTTCTTGATCAATGAAGAAAGCATTTTCTAAACCAGCAAGACAGTAATTTCAGGTGTCAAGGCTTCTAATTCAGTGGAGCATTTATGCTTAGTCTTATCATCATTTATCATTTTCCATAGTGCCCTCCTCCAACTCTGATCTGCTTCACAGAATTACAAGTTAGACACAGACTTCAGGAACTCAGAAGGCATTATGACCATAGACAGCACTCCCCACACCTGCTTGCTAGCTAATATGCTGCACTCTGTCCCTGAAGTTGGGTGATAAAGTGGGTAACATTTCTTAAAACCTTTTTGTACTTAGCAACAGCAGGTCTGCCATTTCAATACTGTTTCTATAGATATTACTGAACCTGTAGTACCTTCAAAGCAGAAGCTATACCCGAAAGTACAGGCATAAGTGGTAAAGAATAAGAACGCATACTAAGCTAGTTAAGCAGTGACAAAAGAGTACATAGTTTTAATAAAGAGGAAAAAAAAGAACAGGCAGGGTAGAAGTACAGCTGTGATGTAAGGTAGCTTAGTTTAACAGGAAATTTTCATCTACTTACAGAACCTTATTTTTCCCAGACATAGGAAGATAACATTCTTGCTCAGAAGGTAATTCTACTCCAGATCTTCAAATCACAGTTCTTGTTTATTGTTTTACTCAGTTCAAGTCACTTGTCTGTAATAAGACAGCATATCATCTAAACTTTGGTAAAGTGGCTCCTGATTTTGCTTGTCACCACTGTATGTCTGCCCTGGAGGAGGTGCATCCTGGGCGCTGCAGTCACAGGCCTGCACTGGTTGTGCTGCATCCTGTGTGCTGCAACCACAGGCCTGCACTGGTTGTGCTGCATCCTGGGTGCTGCAGCCACAGGCCTGCACTGGTTGTGCTGCATCCTGAGTGCTGCAGCCACAGGCCTGCACTGGTTGTGCTGCATCCTGGGCGCTGCAGCCACAGGCCTGCACTGGTTGTGCTGCATCCTGGGCGCTGCAGCCACAGGCCTGCACTGGTTGTGCTGCATCCTGGGTTCCGTAGCCATAAGCGTGCATTGAAAATGGCACATTTGGAGTGCCGTAGCCATAAGGCTGCATTGGTGGCATCATATGTGGAGTGCCATAGCCGTAAGGCTGCATTGGTGGCATCATATGCGGAGCTCCGTAGCCATAAGGCTGCATTGGTGGCAGCACATGATGAGCACCGTAGCCATAAGCTGGCATTGATGGCAGCATGTTCTGAGCACCACAGATATAGGGGTGTGCTGACGGCAGCCCATCCTGCTCATCACTGCTGTCAGTCTCTGCCGATGTTGATCCATCTTCAGCATCACTGCCAGAGGCCTCAGCTGGTCCTGGCCCACCTTGAACACTGTTGCTGTACGCCTGTACAGATGGCGGCACGACTTCAGCTCTGTGGGTACTGGCCTGCACTGATAACTTCTTTTGGTCCTCTGATATTTCTGGTTCTGTCTTTCCAGGAGAGGTTTCAGGACTGTTCAATTTCTGACTGCTGTAACTATCGTCCTTCTTTTGTCCCATAAAGTAATCGGAAGGTGGTGCAAATTCAGGATCTCGCTCATCTCTGAGTTCTTCCTGCTTCTTCGACCATTGTCCAAACATCAACTCTGTTAGAACGAGGGAAAACAGTAGCTTAAATATTGATTTCAGCGAGAAGAGAGGAAACAAAGAAACAGAAGATGCAGTTCTTAAAGCCACCTGAAGTTACTTTCACCTAGTACATCGCTGGCTAACATGACTTCAGTAAGAACTGAATTAGAAGATTTTAATACAGTAAGACTACATGTTTGTCCAATGTAGGAAAACAGAGCAGAACTCCCATTGCTCCAAAAAATATAAAAAAAATATGAAATAGTCAGGAGAAAAGCATCAAGAGAGCAAGGAATTTTGTTCACCCTTTTTTTCCTTACCTTTGCCTTTATCCCACTCACGGACATAAGGCACACCAGGCTTCGTATCTCTTCTCTCCTGGATGACAACCTCTACCTTTCTGCTTGGTCTTGGAACTTCAGGCTCAGCTTGTACCGGGCTGGTGGTGTCTTTCGCCTCTACTTTGCAGAAGGAGAGAACATTTTTTGTTACTGATAGGATACAACCTCCTAAATGAATTTCACAGGCAGAACAGGAAGCAATGCTATACAGAGACAAGTTAGATTAGCATATAGAAAGCTTACAGTAGCTAATTTCATCCTAACAATGAAATGAACCCTAGTTTATTTTTTAATTCATTCACATTAGTTCAGAGAATTTAATGGGTAAGCACTCTGAGTCAGTATATGATATTGAAATCAACTTGCTAATATTATTCTCACTTATCTTAAAAGCCAACCAGTACAACTTCAGCAGCTCCACCACGCTTCATTAACCTGCACAACTCCTGCTGTCAGGCATGACTTCAAAAAGAATCAGTCCATGCATGACATCCCACACTTCTTCCTGCATTATGAAGCTATTTCTGGAACACTTTTATATCTTCACTGCATGGGAACTGCTGATCACAGCCCGAACCTCTGACTGACCACCTAGGCAAGCAATGAGTCAGCTGCAGGAGCGAAGGTGAAATCACTTGTGGTACCAGAAGGGGTGGAGCCTGGCCCCACCTCTCCTAGATCCCATTTAAGGGCTGCCTGCCACTGAGGAAGGATCTCTTTCTGGAGATCGCTCCTTGTGGAGTTTGCTGCAAGCCTATGACACTGGTGAGCATTTTTATCTTTCCACCGTGATAATCTTACTAAGCCTTACCTCTGTACACGCACTGACTGCACACACATTGACTGTAATTCACATAGTTATATGAACTCTCATATTCTAATTTATATTGCGTATACTGAGTATATGATATCTATATCTTAAATCTCCAAGCCTACCAGTTGTATGCCCACCCATTGGTCAGGTACAAGATGGAACAGCAACTGTTGGTCTTGAAAAGACATCTATTCATACCTCCATTCTCCAGTTTTTCTGCCTCTTCTTCTAATCCTTCTTCCCTTAACTTCTTCACCTTCCGTGCTCGAAGTTTAGACAGCCTTGATTCTAGAGCTGCCTTCCTTTTTTCTTTTAACTGTTCTCGTTTAGTTCTTTGATCCAGTGTCTTAACAGTAAAGATAAACATGAATTAATATTCCTGTGTTGCTATAATCAACTACGTATCTTCCTTTGCTGAAGGACTGAAAGCAATATTATCAGGTACTACGTTTCAACAGGGAAAAGGAGACAATTTTCAGTCAAATGCAGGCATCACTGATCATAAGACAAAAAAACCCCAAACACCCAAGTCAGGATGCTCCCATACCTGCTCTCTTAGCATATCCAGTGTTGCCCGTTGTTTATGCCTAAGATCCTGGTCACGAGAAAAGGCAAAGTAACCAACACCAAGCTGTCTGGCCTCTGAGAAGAAAAAGTCAATAAAGTTATCCTCAGTTTACTGAGGATGCAGTTTACTGGCAGCATATAGGCACTGAATGACCACATACACCTCTCTATTTTTTTTCAAATGTGTAAAATAGGCTTAGTTAGATGATGTAGGAAGTGAAGCCTCCTCAAGGAGAGAAAAAAACCATAGTTTACTGAAAAACAGAGCTAGAAGAATGTCCCAGCAATTTGAACAGTTAATACAAACGTGGTTCACATGTATGTGAAGTTTGCCATATGGGCAACAAGAACACCTTTCCCTTGCTTTCTCCAAAGTTAATCTGTGTGAAGCTGAGTACACAAAGCATGAGGCATACCGTTTTCTCGAATGTCCTCATAATGAATGGGCCCCATGGGTTTTCGAAGGGCTTCTTCTTCTTCTTTTTCCCACTGCTGCCTCTGAAGTTCTCTTTTCATATCTTCAGATAACAGCGTGTTCCCATCAGGGTCCAGTCTAATTAAAAAAACACAAAGAAGTGGGGGGGAATTAGGGAGAACAAAGTTGCTGGTTCCACGGTAACAAACAGTGACATTCAGTTATGATCCCACTCCTGCAGTTTCTACAGAATATCACAGGAGGCACCACTTAGAGATAAAACAATGATGAGTATGGCAAGGTATGGTAGAACATGTTATTAAAACACTTAAAGTTCTATCCTTTCTCAGAGGCCTTATCAAATCCTAATCAAAGACAGAATGGCTGATGAAGCGTTACACGTTCGCTCTTACTGTCATCTGTTTGGATGTTAGCAACCACACATAGAAGTATCTCAGATCGATGTGAGAAGATGAAAGCCATTTGAAATAGCACAAAGCCAGTCAGTTACCCTGTAAGTCAATTAGTACTCAGCATGGAAATATTTGTTTTCTCAAGGGAAGCAGCAGCATTTCCCTTTTCATCTAGCTAAAGCAAGCTTTGCTGATAGATGCTCATCCATATCAATCCAGAGACTGTAATTTCAGAACACTCCTATTCTCTTTTTATTTTGAACACTAGTAAGTTGCTGCTGTGAAAGTATCTACATCAGCAGCTCTGCCGAGGTACCCTTAGATTACATTCTGAAAACAACTCTGTGCTGCCATAATAATTTTAATAGGAAAAAACAACCAGTTAAAGTGCTGTTAACAAAAGCAAAAGCAGTGGAGATCTAACAAAGTTGGATTTGCTGAAGGACTACGAACAGTTTTCAGGTTGTTTGGAACCAGGAATCACTTCTCTGGCATTTTCTGGAAGCTCTAGTAAACCACAATTAGCTTACATGGACCACAGTTTTAAAAGAAGCATCAGGTATCTGAGAGATTGCTGAATCTGTTTATTAGAACTCTCCTCTATGAACTACATAACAAAGTTATTAAGAATTTCATTCAGTTTATTACAAATTTCACTTGCGCTTTTATTTCATACGGCCTCTATTCTCATGCAATTTAAAAATACTACACCAGCCACATCATTCAAATGGTCAGCTGCCAAGGAATTCTTGGCATAGTTTATAATAGAAACTCAGCCTGAATTTATAATAGGAAACATTGATAAAACTATTGTCATGTACAATTTCTGTGTTGCTTCTCTGGCTGTTTCTTAAGGCACAATGCAGAAACCAGCAGAAGCTGGCCTAGAGCAAACCTAGAGAAAGCAGTAGATTAAACAACTTTGCACTGAGAAAGGGCAATACCTTTTCCCTTGAAGTTCCTGATCCATTTTAAGTATACTTGGCAAGTCCTTCTTCATACAGCGTCTGGATCGGCCCAAGGAATCAACATAATCAACCCTGTAATGAAAGCAAAGGACATTTCACACAGAACTTCTGCTTGCAGGCTTACAAACAACAGCAGCAGTGACATTTTCCAAAAAGCATCTGACACCTCTCATACTCTCTATATACACCTTAACTGAAAGGTAGAAGAAACTGTCAGACTCCCAAGGTCCCATTCTGAAAGGCCACGTGACAGTTTTACCAGACATTTACTCAGTCTCCCTTTGAGCCTTCTGTTTGCTCTGATAACAAGGTTATACACTTATAACTTCAGTTATCAACCTAAAGCCCATTCAGACAAGCTTGATAGCATTCATTCAACATGCCCAACAAAGGCTGAGTAAAATGCAAGCAAAGCATTCCTCTGAAGCACACACCATGCTTCTCAGCAGCTCTTCGTAGCACCAGGCACTTAATTTACAGTTGTCACTAAAGCTGATAAAGAGCTATACTTACTGTTCAGTGCTGCTAAAAGCTGCCTGGCATCATGCAGCTTCTATTATCCCAAATTAGAGAATTAACATTACAGCTGAAAGCATAGGATTGACAACCTAGTTTCCCCAAACCAAACTTTAAGGGATCTGTACTTTTATTAAGTTCATCGTTGGATCACTGACGGTTCCATCTCAAATCTCAGTATGACACCAGTAGCACTCTGCATTATCTGCCCTTCCAGCCTAGCAGTTTATTCTGGAAAATTATACTGCAAATCTTACTGTGGCTTAAAAAAAGGCACAGTGCTCTTTTTCATACTGCTTATTGCTGTTTTAACTGATTATCACAATTAAAATCTTTGTTCCATAACCATTCTTCACTTGTTGATAAAGAAAACATTTAGTCAGACCAGTTTTGTAACTTCCATGAACTATGAAGAAGAGAAGCTACTGCAACACATCTCACTTGTAGTATATTTCCCTCACTGGTGTTCCTCAAAATCCCGGAGGTAGATTCTATTGTGGTGTTGCCTTTGTGAGAACACAAAGTATTGTCTCTTAAGACAGGAAATAGGAAGAACCACCTCTTCTCTATGTGTAGTATTAACCAAAACCAAAGCAACAAAAACCCAATAACTGTCACTGCACGTTCTGTGGAATGGAATTCTTTTCTCATGCAATTGCCAAGCCTCAGCAGCCCACTCAGCAGTACCAACCATTCTTCATCTGGGTCCTCTGGCGGTGGTATTTCCATTTCTGGTTCAATTTCCTCATCATCTGTCTCTTTTTCTAAAGTCTTTCTAGCAGCTTCGTTCTGATACAGTTCCTGTACTTCTCGCTGTTTGTCTATGATCTTCTGAGTGAAATCCACTAGGTACAAATCTTCAGTTTCTTCATCTGAGGCAGAAAATCAATTCGTAGGGAAGAACCACAAGGAGAACAGAACTCAACACAAAAATCAATAGGTACATCACGGGCACAGTCACCTCCGCAGCTGCCAGCAATGCCCCTGACCAAACCACTGGGGAATACCTACATCTCACCTCGGGTCAAACAAACCTGGAGCTGTGAGCTGGCTCCACAATGATAGCTCCCATTTGTGAACACAGCTTTTATGCTTTTTAAAAGCAATTATTTATGTGTGAAATACAGAAAAGATATCCCTCTCCACACTGAAGTATTCTATGCTCATTAATTATTTCAAAGCTCTAGGGTTCGTTACACAACAGTACAAATACTTAGAATCATAGAATCTCTAAGGCTGGAAAAGACCCACAGGATCACCCAGCCCAACCATCACCAACAGCACTCACTAAACTAAATCATCACTTATTTGATGCTTAGCATTTCCTATGTTAGCAGAAACCAGGCTCTAGAGTGCTTCTTTGAAAAGTGGAAAACAGTGACGATGGCACATGTGGCAAAGTTGGACACTAATAAGGGAAACATTAGATATTAATTGCAAAGACATCTGGATTCTGGTCTAATAAGTATTTCTTGCAAGTGACTGAATACGTGAAAAAAGAAAGGGCCAGATCAGGATTCTTTAGCTCTGTTATCTGCGTGACACATTGCTGCTCTTCTCTTCATAAATCCCAAGAGTTAGATTGCAGGACAGAAAAATAGCAATCAAGTGCTAAGACTGCATAATGGAGAACACGTTATTTTTTTCTCTAAGATTCTATATTGAAAAAACAGAATACATTCCACCCACTTAATGACTGACTGAATGAAACAAGCTCATGGTGATTTACTAGGACAGACTGTCCTTCAAAAAGTAATTCCATATTTTCCAGTACTTACATGATTTTCTCTCTTTGATAGCAAAATAACCCATGCCAATCATTTTGCATAACAGCTCCAAAAAAAACACTTTTAAGTAAGAAGACGAGCAGTGAATTTATACTGCTGCAAGCCACTAGATAATGACAGGCCAATCGTTAGGGTGAATTTTGGAAACAAGTTCATATCTCTATCCTTAGATATACTACATTGATTAATAGGAAACACTGTAAAAAATAATTCAAATCTAAATTAAAACAAAAAAAGCAATTATTTAAGTTTATCTTGTACGTCAGTGCACACACAACTACTTATTTTAGGTTAGCTTTGTTCACCTGGGAAATCGCCTTTTGTCATCTTCTCATACAGCTTCGCTTTCTCTTCAAGTTTCTTCCTGAGAAACAAACAAACCAACCAACCTGTAACTTCACCAATTCCAAACACCATTTGGATCCATTTATGCTTAGGTAAATGAGGAAAGTAATGCTAGGAATGCTTGAAACATCTACTAGAAGCAGAGTAACATCTGTTGTTCTTTTTTGTTTTACATTTTAAATTACGTTTCTGAAGAAACACAGATATCCTGTTCCAGAGCTTACACTGAAAAATAAATTGAAATCATAGCTGAAGTTACAGAGTCAGTCTTCAGTGTAACATACTGAGAAGGCATGGGTATGAAGTCACTAATATTCTACCTCTGCACAACTATTATGGTTGGTCAGATAAATACTAGAAGACTACTTACAGGTGTGAGATATAGGGAAAAAAAAAAAAAAATACAACAGTGTTACAACCAGAAAGATTAATGCAGTAAAAGGGTGATACAAGAGTGCAACAGCAAAGGGACTACCACAGAGAGAAGGGTATTCCAAAAGAAAAGAAAAGATACCTCATTTCTAAAACTCCAGGCTTACAGGAAGGACTCTACAAAAGAGAGCTCTCCAACCAGAAATCCTTTCCCCACGGGGGCCCTTCAGTGAGGTCTCAGAGAGGTGCAGCCAGGCTCCACCCCTTCCTGTCATGCAGCTGAATTGCCTTCACCTGTTCTCCCAGGTGCTCAATCAGTGGTTCAGGCTGTGACTCAGCAGTTATCATACAAACATGATTTTTTAAATTTAAATTGAAAACTTTAGCTGATTTCTGGAACAGTAGAAACCAATTTTGACGAGCTAGAATCCACTTACAGAAAAACAGCACATTGATTATAAATGGTGTTTTCATCTGTAATGGAAGTGCTAAGTCACGGCCTGCAGCACTGATTGAGCACCTGGGGGAAGGCAGGGCCAACCCAGGGGAGCTCAGGTGCATGCAATGGCCCTGAGTGACTGGAAGGGGTGAAGCCAGGATCCAGCCCTTCCCAGCCCTCATTTAAGGGTTGGCAGTGGAGCTAAGGATATTTCTCTGGAAATCCTTGCATACTGAAAGCCTTCTAAAGATAAGCAGTTTTTTCCAGTGTCTGCTACTATACTGGGGCTTGTTCTCATTTGTTACAGCCTAGGCTTGTGCTACCTTACTACTACTACTGTATTTTCCATCATATACTTTATTGCACAGCCAAGCTATTTAGGAAACAAACCAAATTTACAGAACCATCTTTTGTTAAGTCTAATAAATGGTTTGAGGTGTGAGTTCTGAAGCATCACTGCCCTGGATTTTGCCTCTAAAAATGATACTCAAATCTCAGCAGCCTTATACATCTAGATAGTTGTGATGATGTAAGGGCAGATGTCTCTAGAGCATAAGAGCATTTCACTACAGCCCATACACTGCTCCCATACAGCATGGGACTGATGCTGGTCTCACCTTTTGGCCTATGAGAGCTGCTCATCTAGAATGCACATAACTTTCAATGTACTTTTCTAACTGCTGAAAAACAAATTCTACAAAACGTTCCTTTCTTATAGAGCTTGAGAATTACCTTGATTGATCTAAGGTTTGATCCTCTTCTGCCTTCTGCTCAATGTCTTTCTCAGCTCGTTTTGCGACTCCTGTGTTTTGTTTAGTCCAGATGCTTGGTTTCTGCAGGATATGATTTTGTAACAACAAACAATCATGAAATGATAAACATCACTCAATCAAGTAAGGTTTTTAAACGGCCTCGTAAATGCATTTGACTTGAGATTCTACCTGCTGTGCTGTAGAACACAGCAAGTATGACCTAAAATGACACATTGCTGTACTGTGTGATAATGAAGGTCAGGGTGAGAAGCAAAAGGAAACATATATCAGGCAAAATCTATTCTAGCAAAGTTTTTATGGAAAAAGTAATGAATAACTAAATAACAAAGTTATGAACTGCTCATATTCTCTCCTACATTCATTTCAGATTAAAAATACAGCTTTTCAGTTTACAGTGCAACACAACCTTCAAGTATGGTAACTCTAGTACTAAGAAGTCACAGCACAGATAGAAAACATACAGTAAAGAGTAAAAATGAGTGAGAATTGTCTGTTTGCTGTGATGCACTGTGACAGAGAGGAGCACCCAGTATGGCATTTATCAGAAAGCTCAGTGGTTCTGGATGAGTTTACCATCTTCCCCCCTTCAGGGAACCTGAAGTGAAGCAGCAGCATATTGCTCTGTAGATAAAAAAAAGCTTTGGCTCCTGAGAGAATGAAACTTCAGAGGTAACTTTGATAGGCATGGGCAGCAGTTTGCTGCTGTGCACAGAAATCACATCTGAAAATGTGCTGACAGAAATCAAAACTTCCTCATGGTGAAAACTCAAATGGCAATAGAACTTTTTTTTTTTACTGAGATTTAAAGGTGTACAAACTGCCTTAATTTAAGGAGAAAGGATAAGAACAGAAAACCGTTTCTACCTTATTGGAGGGTTTGGGCTTTGCAAAGATGCCTGCATCTTTCAGTAGCTTTTCTTTCTTGAATTCTTCTTGTTTGCGGAAGAGCTCTGCTTTGAGATCTACCAACTACATCATCAGCAAAAGGAACAAACACGTTGCCAACCATCAGTTACTGGAGATAATTATTCCTCTATATAGTAAAATAACCGACTACTAACATCTATGCGAGCATTTAATTGCAGTTAGACGTGGACCCTAAAAGCAGCGATCTGATCGAGAAGGTCACTGCTAAGCTTGCAGCACTCACGGCAAGCCGAGCTGCGCGGGCACTTCCCACGGCAGAGCGGCGGGCAGCAGGCCGGCACACAAACAGACGCTTCCCTCCCGCGCCCTCACTTCACAGCGCACCCCGACACGATGAGACTCCGGGCCCTTTAACCGGCCGTGGCTCAGCGCACCGCGGGCGCCGGGCCCAGCAAGGAGCCCAGCACAGCGCTGCCTGGCCGGGCCTCGCACCGCCGAGTCCCGCTTGTAAGCCGAGCCGCAGGCGCTGCTGCGGATGCTACCGCTCCCTTTCTCTGCTTCCCAGCCGCGGCGGAGCTTGCTCGCTTACGGAGGAGGCGGCCACGTCCAGCGGCTTCTTCCTCCGGTCCATGGCGGCCCGAGCTCCCCGGCAACCTCCCGCCGGCCGCTTCCGTCCCCGCTTTGCGGCGATGCCGTAAAGTGCGGCGAGGTCGTAAAGTGCGGCGCTGTTACGGCAGCGCTGGTATGAGCTGATGGGTTCTTCCCTGCCGCTTTGCTGGGCGGAGCGGAGGATGGAGTCTCCGTGGCATAGGTGCTGAGTTTGGGGCTGCGCAAGGAAGGATTGTGGGGGGTTACATAGCAAAAGTGACTTCAGTTCTGGTTTAGTTGGTGAATGACTGCTAGAGAGAAGTGCTGCTTGGATGTGGATTTAGCCTTGTAACCGCTGCCTTGCTTGAGGCTGTGCTGAGCAGAATTGCGGTCGTTGTCGTTGGCTCTCGCGGGTCAGTGCTGAGGGATGTGAGCTGATGAGGACTGAGCCCTGTCCATAACGCCCCAATACAAATCCCCCTGCGCGTGCTGGAGCCTCAGATGAGTGGAAGCTGGTCTCGGAGAGTCGCTGCTGTGCTTTCCCTGGGTAGCTCGTTATCTGCTTTATTCTCTCTGTGAGATAAAAGGATTGGCTGATATGTTTTAATTTTGGAGTGATTCAGATCATAATTATCCAGAGTTACAAGGGGAAGCTGCCTTTCACTTGTCTTCAATAAAGTGGTAAAATATACGGTGCTGATGTTGTTGCTTGGCAATGTGACAGCTGATAGAAATGTCTCATGCAGTTCTTTGGCTTTTTGAAATGTGCTGCTTTTGTGTTTGGAAAGCCGGATCCAGCCCATGCTTGGGTAGTTCGTTGGCACAGAATTGCAGATTACTGACAAAGATACTCGGTAGCTAAAGCAGTTACACCTGTACGCCCATGAGTATTAAAGAGGTAGTTCAGAAAAGCTGTCTGTGGCCTTAGTGAAGCTGACTTCCTTTTGGTTTCTTAAAATAAGGGGAAATGATGGGAGACAACATCTAACATGAGCTACCCTTCTCTGGAGAGCAACAAGAATTTGTGTTTTAATTTGCAGTGTAAGAAGAGACATGAGCACTGCTGATAAATAGAACAAAGGAATGAAAACATCTGTGCTGTTCTAGGTAAATATCACTCCAACAAAAGGTGTGAAGTGCCTTTCCAAACCTCACCTACTGACGATACTGAGAATTAAAAACAGCCCAAACCCAACCAAGGCTTGATTCTGATTTAGTAATTTTTGACTTTTATCTTTTCCCCCTTGAAGTTCATGGATTCTTCTCCATGTTGCTCATACTCCATGTTACAGTGATAGGACTTGCTTGCTCATCCCTCTGGACTGCTAGTGCTGTAGGTGTTAAGTACTTTCAGGAGCTCAAGAGCCTCTTTATCCTGAGAGTCTCATAATGTGAAGTGTAACTGAAGAGCTGATAGTCAGACTTGGACCTGTATCTCCCCGTGTAACTGCAGATGCAAAAACATTCTGAGACATCTTGACTTCTTGAAAACTTGACTTGTAGGGTGCTGTGACTGCCTCCTAAGCTTAGTGTCTGAGGCTCTAGGATCTTACATGAATGGTTTTAGAAATGTCATATTGAATAGCTTGTAGGTGCTTCAGTGCTTCTTTGTCTTTTCTGACTGAAAGGAAAGATGATTCAAATGCTGGCTCAGGCCACTACTCTGGCAGCCACTCCTACCTCGCTGTCATCTGTCCTGTTCTTAAGTCTGGAATCAGACCTTGTGGGATCCTTTATTGCTTGGCACAGCCTGTGGCTCCTCTAAGGCAGCTCCTTGCTGCCTTCTTTCTTTGCTGCTTCTTTTTTCCTCTATGACCTGCCCATATCTTTTCATTGCTTGTTGCACCATTCTGATTTTTCAATTCTTACAAGAAAACCATCTGTTTCTAGTGTTAAAAATGTGAGTTTGCAAACTTGGAAAAGGAAAACATCTTTGATGTATTTCTTCCTTCCTTGACACTATTTGTGTTTACCTGTCCAAATGCTGCATTGGAGCAGCATTCTTCCTGCTTTGAGTGTTGCACAAAATGGCTAAGCAATATCTCAGCAGCTCTCTATGTCACAGGTATTATGCAGATGGTTTAGTGAACATGCAAAGATAGAAAGGCTCTGGAGGTGACTGCATCTGTCTAAAACTGATCCTTTCTGTTCATGGCATGGCCAGGATTGCAAGGAAAATCTGTGCTACTGAATGGTTAGGTGACTGGATGTGAAAAAAGAATTGCTCTTAAAAGATGAAGGGCAGCACATGTTGTAGAATGAGACACAGAGCTGGTGATTCTGTGCTTGCAAGAAACAAGTGATTCTGTGGGTAGTAAAGCTCTACCTGGACATGCCTGACTCAGAATCAGTCAATCAGTGCCGTTGATGCTTTGTACAAAAGATGAGCTCAAGCGATGAGGAGCTGTACCTTCATTCTTCCTCAGTTAACATCAGCAAGGCCAGCAGGCAGGAACAGAGACACATGCAGTGTGGCTCTCCCACCTGCCTGCTAGAAACGTGGGGCTGCTCTGTGTGCTGCTGTGCTTGCCTATGTGTGGGACTTGGCACTCAGTGTGCATCCAGTCAGGTGGCTTTCAGAGTGCTTCCTGAGTGGTGGTTCAGTAGTCCTGTGCTTCCTGACAAGTTTTTGCATCTATAGCTCCCTCAGAAGGGCTCGGTGTTGGCTCTAATTTGTGGAAGGCTGATCTGGGGATTCTTTTTAATCCAGCCTACAGGCATTAATAAAATATGAACGAGAGTGGGGGAGCTGGAATGAGAACATTTCCAGGGTGGGAAGCAAAACCAGCTTAACCTAAAGAAAGGAGGTGAGGAAGCAGGGTAACTGTGTGTATAATACAGATTCAGTGTAGTTTTGTGATGCTTACAGGGAATCAGTGAATGCTGTGTAAGCTGCTGTGTCTGATCTAAATCTGCCGATAGCCTTGAATTCCTGGGGAATAATTGATTCAGCTCTTATTGGTATGCTGCTCATTTTAGCACGAGGCTTAATTGTGTTCACTTCCACAAAGCTGCATCAACACAAAAAGCTTGTTTATTGTTGTTGAGAAAGATGGGGGGTCACAGCAGTTTGTTTGAAGGCGATTTTGCATGAAATAGTGGCATCTCTCACTAATCTTGCAAGTTGCTGAGATGTTGCACAAACTCAAAACAAATTACTTGGAAATTTTGGGTGTCTCCTCCATACAAAAAAAAAAAAGGGTTTAAATAGGAATCCAATGTGGGAATACGAGAGAGACTATTCAGAACAGGCACTGTGGAGCAAGACAAACAGCTTGTGAAAGGCTGAGAACCAGTGTTATCTCTAGAAGAGGAGAAAAGCAGAAGGAATGGTTCATGGATCTGCTTGGATAAACGTCTTAGGAAGTGTTTGTGGGTACTTTGTTGATGGGAAAGTTAGCTTTCCCATCTGCCTTTATAAAAAAGAAAACTTGTGAACATATGAAGTGATGTGAGAACCTGTAATAAACATTTTGCATCATTCACATCTGAGTCTGTGCCTGGTTGCCACAATCCAAAACTAAATTATGTTGATGTATCATAGATACTAAGCACATCAAGGCCCTGGGGTAGGATGAAACCTGACTGACTTTCTGCATCTCGGCTTTAAGATGAAATAAAGTTGTGGGCCAATAACTGTTGGATATTTGTGACATGTTGGTGCTAGCACACCGCCTTCATGCATTTTCATGGCCACTTGACACAAGGAACATAACTCAAGGAACACAAGGAACAGGAAACCTGAAAAATAACCTAAGTTTTCGTATGCTAGCACTGTAGTTATAGAAATGCTGAGTTGGTGCAGCAAAAAGGAACAGGTGGAGGGAACATGAAATAAACCCAAACTTTGCTGCTCATAAGTCTAGATGTGTGCTGTGGGTTAGGAGAAATATTTTAATGCTCTGATTAAATGCTTGAAGTGTTTGTGTGATCCTGGGCAGAAAATCAAAGACAGAAATGGTGATAGTAGTGCTTGTAATGTCTCCCTGGCACACAGAGCTCTACTGCTCTTTGCTGCTTGTGTCATAAGCTGCAGTGCAGCCTGCTTTTGTGCTAGCTTATTTCTCTTGCAAGCCACAAAATAGGTATAGAATACAGTTCTGGCTGGATGATGAGAAACTGAAATCATGTCTAAAGTAGCCTCTTATAAAATGCCAGTTCCATAGAATAAGGTGCTCATTTGTGTTTAGTGTCAACAACATCTTTTCTTCTCAAGTATTACGAGAAAGGGGGTAGAGTACTTGGGAACAGACTGTAATTCTTCTGATGAAGCCAGAAAAAAGGGATTCCCTGAAAGCAGATAACAACTTAGATCAGAAATGGGCTTAATGCCATTTTTGCACAGCACATGTGGGAGGGCCATAGTTATTGCAAGTGAAATGAATTTAGAAAGCTGTTACTGACTGGTGATTTATATACATTTTAGCAAGCTTTGAGAATGGACATAATGATTCCTTCTTCAGGGAATGTGTAAATGCTCTTAAACCTGAAAAATAAGAAAAACTTTGAGTGCCAGCTCAGGAGGCGAACATGTTTCTCTTCTTTCCTGTACCAAGAGATACAAATTGTCTGAACTAGTGATGTACAAAGCAAGGAAGCTCCAAAGACACTTGGGAGTGGGCAGGGTGATAGGCTCACTCCCTGAAAAGGTGCCTGAACCTATTGGAATGCAATCGTGTGGTGAATGTTTTGTTATTTGTAGTTTCTATGCAGCTGGCATAAAAGACAAACTTGCCCTTTAAAGAACTGCTCAGTTCCTTGAGCTTTACCCATTCATCTGTCCACTCTTCTCTTGCCATCTGCTTCTTTTGCTGTGGTCATGTGAAGTTGCTTCATCCCTGCAGCAAGATGCAGTCTGGATGGTTTGCAATCAGGCTTTCATTTGAAGTTTTCCTGTCTTTGCAAGCACAGATGAGCTTGCTGCCCTATCAAGGCACAGCACTATAAAGAAGCTGGGCTTTCTATTCTAGCTGCATGTCTGCAAGCCCTTTCAGGAGGCTACGGACTTATTTCTTTCTTGCTGGGTCTGGGATGCCGAGCTGGAGGAAGAGCCTTGCTCTTTGTCTGCAGAAAATGCAGGATGGAGGTAAGGC